TCTTCCTCTTCTTCCTCTTCTTCCTCTTCTTCCTCTTCTTCCTCTTCTTCCTCTTCTTCCTCTTCTTCCTCTTCTTCCTCTTCTTCCTCTTCTTCTTCATGCTAATCACAGATCTGATGCTTGGTCCTCGAGCCATTTGAACCTCGGCCAGACCGCAGACTTGTTGGATAATCTTCGCTACTCGAGTACTGCCGAATGAAGCGCTCTACTGATTGCATAAGCGTTGTCCTCTTGCTCTCTATATGCATCTCCCTGGAACGACTTGTACGAATTCGGCAAGGAAGAAAAGCATGGATCTATATTGTCTTACGGAAGGATAGACCGGTTGATCCCGCATTCAAGATATTCTAGACCTGTTCGATAGATACCGGCGACGTTGCCACAAGGTCTATCGTAAGGCTAGGTAAGGCTGACTATGGGGTGGTGATATCTGGAGAGTCTAAGAGGTAGGAGAGAGCGTTCTTTTCCGTTCACCCTCTCTGCTGAGCTAGGCAGTGCTCCATCTTTTAGGTAAAGCATCCGCACAGTGACGATGATCGACGCGAAGAAGCATATCCGGCGACTTTGGTGCATCATCCCTGATCATCCTCATGTATGTCATACATGAATTTGAGATGTAAACACTGACGTCATTTTCAACATCTGGATCTGCAATCCTTGTGTCCGAGTCGTGAGGAGAGAGGGAAATGCACAACCACCTACAAATTACACCTTTGCGCCATCTAAAATAAGACTAGACAAAGGAAGTTTCCAACCCAGAAGTCACTTCGCTTGTTTATATTACAACGTTTAGATCAAAAGTGGACTAGGAGAACTCTCCACATCTTCCGTTGGGTTTTCTGACCTAGAATTCCAGTCCGTTTGTCTAAACGAGTATATCAAGTCTTGCTGGACAGGGCGTTTCCCCGACACACCACTCCTTTGAACCTCTACTATCACTTGATCTGCCTTATACCAAATCATATTGCCAGAGATATGTCCGCTCACACTGAAAACTTACAATTTTCTCGAGAGGATGTCGACTTCGGTAAGGCCTTTCAACGGACTTCGTCTAAGTTTGTCAAGGTTTCGGTTGTAATGGACCTTTCAACCCCCGGCTTCTGGAAGGGAGCTCACGACACTGACACTGATTCTCGGATCCTTCCTGCAGAGATCCCTCGGGAACTCCCAGAGAAGCTGGCAGAAGAACTTCGAAGGCTGGAACAATTGTTTACCGTTGACACGGCCATGCTGAAGAAGATCACGGATAAGTTCGGCGAAGAGCTTGACGAAGGTGAGTTCACGTCTCTCTCCGGTTTATGCTGCACACACAGGCTGTTGGCCCGGGAGTGGATTCCGTCAGTCGTCAAAAATATGCTGGGCGGACTGAACTGAGCGAGATGACAGCCAGTTTCTCCTTTACCTCGTTGGATGCTCTCGTCCCGGTTTGCAATTTATCGTAGAGATTTTGCTGACAGTACATCTTGCCAGGCCTTCGAAAGCACGCATCCAATGTTGTACGTTTGCGCTGCATCACCGCATCGAAGTTCTCCAAGTCAAACCTTCAGGACCCCGCTAGATACTGACGTCCTTTAGCCGATGAATATTACCTGGGTTACTTCTTTCCCCACAGGGCATGAAGCCGGCACATATCTCACGCTCGATCTCGGCGGAACCAATCTCCGCGTGTGTTTGATCACACTCACCGGCACACCAGGAGGGTCTGAGATCACACAAGAGAAATATCAACTACCCCGAGAGATCAAGACCGGCACTGCGGATGAGCTCTTCGACCACATTGCCGACCGCCTTGGGAATTTCGTGACAAAGCACATAAAGGGCGATGGAGCAAAGCAGAACGATGGGAAGATGCCACTGGGTTTCACGTTTAGCTACCCCGCTACTCAAGAGAGGATTGACCATGGGGTTTTACAGACCTGGACGAAGGGATGGGATGTCAAGGGAGTGGAAGGTAGCGATGTTGGAAATATGTTGAGGGGAGCCATGGAGAAAAGGGTATGTTCATGCGTGGAACACCCTCCCACGCTGTCTAGTTGATCATTGTCCGACGCTTTTGTTTGCCCCACGAAGTCCAAGAAACTGACCCGTTATTTTGCGTTACGCAGGGCCTCCTTGTAAATCTTGTCACTCTTATAAATGACACAACCGGGGCTCTTATCGCCTCCGCATACAACGATCCCGAAACAATCATTGGCGCGATTTTCGGCACCGGTTGCAATGCGGCATATATGGAACGCAAATCTCGTATACCAAAACTTCATGGAACGGGTCCATCTTCCAACGGCACTACCGCTATTTCCGGGACTAGCAGGGAGGAGAAAGGTGATGCGCTAATGGCCATCAACTGTGAATATGGTGCCTTTGACAATTCACACTCTATCCTCCCAAGGACACGATACGATGAAATAATCGACGAACAATCTCCGCGACCGGGAGAGCAGACATTCGAGAAGATGTCCGCCGGGCTCTACCTGGGAGAAACATTCCGACAGATCCTCGTCGACCTGTACGCCAGAGGGGTGATCTTCCGCGACTCAAAGCTCGACGACAAGCAGAAGGAACTGCTAAACACCGCCTATGCAATCGATACGGAATTTCTATCTAATCTGGAGAACGACGCGTCGCCATCCCTTTCCTCGTCGCTGCGTGCCTTCGAATCCACGGTTGCGGGTTTGCAACCCACGCCAGCCGAACTAATCTTCTTGCAGTCCCTCGCGAAGCTCATCGCCATCCGTGGCGCGAGGCTGTGCGCGTGCGGCGTGTCGGCGATCTGTCGGAGGATCGGGACGCAAACAGGTCATGTCGCCGCGGACGGGAGCGTGGCTATCAAACACCCGCGGTTCAAGGAGCGGTGGGAAAATGCGGTCAGAGAGATTTTGGACATGAAGATGGGGGCCAAAGCGGCTGTTGATGGAGGAGGAGCGTTGGAAGGGATTAAACTGACGAGCGCGGAGGACGGGAGCGGTCTTGGAGCCGCTATAATCACAGCGCTGACTCTAAGAAGGGCAGAACGGTGATGAAGCGGTAGTTGCGGTGAGTGCAGTCTACAAACACGAAAAGGCATACTGTAGTGTGCCTTGAGACAGAATGGCCGCCGGAAGTGTCGAATGTTTCTCTGAAAGTCTTGGGACAAACGCTTGTGACCTGACGCGAGACACTTGTTGCACGTGGTGGGCTATCCTTGCACCGATACTCCGCAGAAATCTAGACGTCTATCTCGCCACAACACCTCCTCACCCACTGAGCCGTCTCCCCCACTCGACTGAGGAACGGACTATGTCCGCTCTTGATAGCAGTCACATGGACGGTCTTTCTCCTCCCATCGTCTCCCGGTTGCCTCGTAGCCTCCTCGCGGGCCACAATCTCCCTGTCCGCAATGTCAATCATGGCCCTCTGGAACGCCGGCGGCAGTGCCCTGTCGTCCTCGGTCACCAGGTAAAACACATCCAAGTCCAACTCGGCCGCAGCTTGCCACGCCGCAAACGGCACGGGTGTTTCCTTGGCGGCCCAGACGGCCCAGATCTGCGGTGTGCAGAGCGACGCGTAGCGCTGGGCGGCCAGGGGATCTTGCTCGGCGACGTCGTGGTAGAACAGAGCGACGGGGCCCGGGTCAGGGACACAGGTGCAGATTTCGATCTCGCCCTTACTCGGATCGCCAGGGTAGGGGATCGTCGAGATGAGCATCGTCGGCGGAACCTGCCCGCCGCTCCAGTCCAGCAGCGAGGTACCCGGCGACGTGAGGAGGCCAGCGATGATTAGCAGCGCGATGACGCCATTGCGGTGGCCCCCCCGCGCGCGCGAGGATCTGTCCAGGCCCTCAATCGCCGCAGAGGCAACGACCGTACCGTACGAGTGCGAGAGCAGCACGAGGTCAGCGGCTGGGTGGGCAGAGAGTTCCGAGACGACGGTCTGCCGGATCGCAGCGATGTCGTCGAGGATACTTGACACGGGCGGCACGTTGAGTCTCTCGTAGTGCACGCTCGGCAGCCACGGCGAGACGGTCCTGTAGCCGTGCGAGTTCAGAGCTGTCTCCAAGGGGTGGAAATGCTCGGGCGAGTGCCACGCGCCGTGGACCAGGATGACGGTGGGCTTCGGAGTGGACATTTTGACATGTGTCTGTGGCAGAGGACGTCCGTGTTCTTATTCGGCACAGCTAATATCGAACTCTGGTAATTTTTGTTGTGGTATATTTCTAGTTCCGTTCCTGTGATGGCAAGACAGCGGATACATATGCCTCCCCGGCCCAAAGCCTTGGTTTCGGGTTTCCGTGGATGACACACCTCGGTAAGAAGAAAGTTGAAGAAACTCTACCGATTCCTGTGCTGCTGATGGTTGCTCTATATACGTGTGGAAGTTCCTCAGAGGGGAGGAACGAAGCAGACGACATCAAATTAGTCAGGCAGCCATCCATTCAACTCGGCCGGTCCTATCGTCAACGCTGACTGGATCTCGTGAAGGAGGCCTGAATGCAGGAGGCCTGACGAGCTAGCAGGATATTCGAATCCATCACCATCGAAACACAAAGTCTCAACATTAGATGCACCAAGTCCGTTGCCTGTGGCAGCACTGGGAGGAAACGTGGAACATGTGAAGACAAGCTTGGGTTAGGTTCTGTTGACAGGGTCTCGAGATAGCCACTGTGTGGCAAACCACCTAAGACGCTAGGCGTTTCACCAACTTCGCCACCTACCTCAACACCCGTTGTTCTCGCCGATCTGTGATAGGATTGTGAAGGAAGAGGAGGTTTCAGGAATGGCCTTCAGATTACAGGCCAAAGTGTATATAAACAGGCAGAGGGGCAAGAATACAATCAATCACATAGATCCACTCTCACTCTGTGTACAACAGGTTCATTCATGTTGGGAGCAAAAATGTCCCCCCCTCCCAAAGCACAGTATCCTGACCTGCCCCAGAGGACAGCAGCCTTGATATCCTCGTGCACAGGAGTCTCCCATTTCCCAACTCCTTCTGGCTCCCAATGTCGGTTCTGTCTCGAGGATAGTAATGTATCATTCTCCGTGCACAACCCGCCGCCATATCTTACCATGACCACGCCCCACCCCGCCCCAAAAACCATCTGTTGAACTGTGCCATGCACTACGAGTTGGTGAACTTTCACGCTCAAGCTCGAGCATCCGTCACCCTTCGGCGTCACAATGACAGCCAATTGGCTATAGCATTCAGGATAGGATGCCAATACGCTCCTGCACATTGGAAGGAGTTGTTCAAGGTACCATTTCCCTTGTCGACTTTGCGCCTCCTCATTGCTTGTCTGCCGAGAGACAATGAGGAGTCACTTGGAGGACATCGAGACGTTCTTCGGCCGTCACTTCCAGCCTGCTGGCTCGTCCTGACGGTGGCGGTACCTTCGTGCTGAAATTGGCATCGGACGGGTCGAGACTCGCAACCAATTTCCCACTCCCTTCCTGTGTTTTGTAGCTGCGAATGCCCCGAGCCAGCAGCAACCCCAGAGCCTTAATCATCACGACACTTTTCTGACTGGAGTACCGCAAGTTAAATCCTTCCAAATACCAATCCGACAGTCTGTGAAGGCATTGTAAGTTTTATCAGTGAGACAGGTCGACTGCCAGGGTTGCAAGATCGCCACCGTGACCACCGTTGCCATTTGATCGCTGGCGCCACTTGAAATAGCCATTACGCTGAAATGCAATGACGTCGTTACGGGATGCTCAGAAATGGCCTTGTTGGCACGGCATTAAATGTATATCAGCAGGCAGCGTCTCTCTGGGAACAAGAGGGACAGACACAACTTGCAAGATAGATCAATTATAACGAACCTATCTAGCAAGCCGGGAATGGGTCGCAATGACCAAAGTGGTGGCAAGGCTTTGTCTATGGGGGGAGGGTGGGGTCTATCTGGGAGTAAAGAAGAGGGCCAGAAGGACTCGACTAACTACGAGATAAACGAAAGAGAGGGGTGCCAAGGTGCCTCCAGGCTAGTGTTGCAATGAGCTAGCGGAAGACGTTCATTTGCTTGTTGTGGCTCAAATGAGGACATGCTAGATCTTTTTAACAGAATCATGAGGACCTGCCTAACTATATGCTCGTTCGGTAATTACACGAGGATATCGGCGCTAGCCCTCACTACCCTCACCAGTCTGAAGGCCTTCGGTCGAGGACTGGCGTAACAGTCTTTACATGTCTTGGCCTATCCTGTCGGTTACACATGGACGAAATCAACTTGACGGTTTCATTATATCACTCATCCGCCAGCCCTTCTTGAAGTTGCAAATTCTCATCCACTCCACGAATGCTGCGGGGTTGAGTTGTACTCTACACCATCCGCCTACGGGCTCCTCTAGCACTGTGCATTGCACATCTGGAATTCTTCCGATCCGCCAATCCGTAGGGCATATTCCATAAGAGGTGCTGCTGAACCGGTCAGTAGTGGAGCTTCCTCCAATTTCCATTACAGTATACGATTCGGCAGTCTTCCGAACAGGCAAGATAGCAGAAGGTCCAAGCATGAGTATGAAATCCCAGTCCCGCCAATGGGTGGTCGAACAGATAATTTGGTCCTTGTATTCGTTGGCCTGGCACCTCGTTAAGTATGAATGGAAGGATAACCGTTCAGTGGCCGACGTCATTTCCACGTATCTGTCCTCTTCAGAGTTGAATGCCGCGACTGTATGGAGTGACACCGGCCGTGCCTCTAGAATGACCTCCATCACGATCGGGGTTTTCACCTGAGAAGGTATGGATCTGTTGTAAAAGGTTTGCAATGATCCAGGTTTAGAGCCTAGGATCCAGCGGACGACAACTTCTACATTGCGAGCATAGAGCCCACTTTCCCCTTTGCTAGGGAAACGTCCGCAAATGACTTCCATGTTCGCTGCGCAGACCTCCATGATGGATGATGTATAATCGACTATTACCTCTGAGCGAACAGAGGCAGATGTGAGGCCGAGTAGTCCATAAAGTCTATCTCTCGGATCATGGCAATCAGCCTGGTGGAATCTTCCGAGAAGCTCGTAAAGGTTCCAGACTGCGTTATGTTTTCTTTTGAGTTCCCAGATATTGCGAAAGTTCTCTCTTGAGGCAGTGTTCTTTCTCGTACGTCTTATAAGGGGTGTCAGTCGTCTAGTGGTAACGTCTTGTAAGTCCTCCCAGTCAATGACTCTATCGCTGATCATCAGGAACACCTTCTGCGCGAGAACAATCTCTGGGATTATCCAGACACGAGTCCAATAGTCACGCTTGATAAGAGATCCCAGAGCCTTCGTACCCCGCCGGCCGACCTCTCGAGGAATCGATTTGGACCGCCGTTGGCGTGGAATGCTCAACGCGAGATTCATGTAGGTGATGGCATAGTCCGTATCAGGATCAGCCTCGCCGAGCCAAGCATAAACGCTAGCTGCAGTGCTGAAAATGTCTTTCATGAGTTTGACCTGATGGTTGCGTTCCTTGACGTTGGACTGATCTATGCACAGGTAGTCAACCCAGAGTCTGCTCGGTCCTTTGACAGACCAAAAATTCTGCAGGAATTGCCAGAGATTCCGCCGAACTCTGATCACCTGGCCATCTAGAATAACCTCTGATCCATCATCAGGAGGGCCCCAGCAGTATGATAACGCTATAAATGAGTCGGCATTCGAGAGAGATGTGTATTCTAGGGAGAGCTCGATTGGTGTGTCGTCAGCGCCGGCGTGCAATGTGAGCAGCCGGATTTCTTGCTCATTCTCATCAAGTGGCAGGTACAAGGAATCCTTCAGACTTCCGGTGGCATTCTCGCTGGAGAGACCTGCGTTCTCCACTGTAGGTGAAGGTGTGGAGTCGACTTCTGAAGCGGAGGTAGTCATGCTCCTCGTGAGCGGAGCCATCATAAATCACTAGCTTGAGGGTACCATTGACAATTAGTTAATTTCGCTTGTCAAAAAAAAGGGAAAAGAAAAATTATTAAAGAAGATTTCATCGACGATGAGAAAATCGAGCGAGATGATGATTGACGAAATTGTGATCGAGAGGCGCCTCGAGGGGGCGGTGTAAAACACAGCCTCGTCGAGCGATTCCTCTTTCGCTCAACCAAAGTGCCTTACAAGAGAAACTGGACTTTTATTCACAGTTTCCAAAGGCCCGTACCTATTCAAATAATGCGCGAATTGGTCGTGCCCGGAAATTAGTATCCTTTAAAGAAATATACGAAAGTTCTTCATCAATTTTTAATTGAGTTCTACACATGTCTCTTGCTGGCCCCAAACCCCTTCTTCTTAGATCCCCGCTTGCCTGGGAAGTCTTGTCAATGCCCTGAGCTTGTATCCTCAAGAAGACGTTGTGTTGCATTCCTGGTCACAGTTTTTCCCTCGATTCACGCACCCTCCGGAAGCCTCCACATCCGCCCACGCCAGCATAAGTTTGGATAAGACAGACGCGTCGAATGCCTTCCATCTACGCTGGCTTGACCTTAATTCTAACGCCCTTGGAGTCGAGCCGTGGGCTTGGAGCAAAGAAATCGTGCGCAAGTTCCAGATCGCTTATGTCGGTTTGATAAAGCTCAAAGTCAAAGTTCCTAAATAGGGCCGCAAGTGTCATATGCAGTTCGGCCTGCGCAAGACTACAATCCATTTAACAAACGGCCAAGGGTGCATGAGATAAACGCTTACTTGATGCCGAGACAGCTGCGTGTCCCTTTGCCAAAGCCAATATAGTATCTTTCCAAGCTGTGCCCGTTAGGCGCCTTGGGATTGCCAATCCACCTCTCAGGTCGAAACGTTCTAGGGTTCGGAAAGATCACCTCGTCATCGCAAACATCGACATTCGTCATGCTCACAGGAGTCCTAGGGGGGATGATCCAGCCTTTGTACTCTAGTGGCTTCGACAAGAGCCTGGGTTCTCTCGCCGTTACTCCATACGACATGCGCACTGCTTCTCGCACGCACCCAGCGAGATACGGCAGCTTTTCGAGCTCGGTCCAACTAGGCTTTTCGTCGGGATTTGGAATAGCAGCCTCCAATTCGGCCCTCAGCTTCTGGTATATAGGCCGATCGTTGATGATATGAAAAGCTGCAGTGGCGAGCGCCCAGCCAGTAGTGACAACACCAGCAGCAACCACAACAGAAGCCTCGCCCATTAGCCGTAGCGAATTCTTTTCCGAGGGTGGTAGATTACCTTCAATTAGTTCCTGGAATACCGTTCGATGGGAAGACTTCTCCAGGACATCTTTCATTTTCCCTGACTTCATATCGTCGATCTGCTTGCGAAAATCCTGCAATTGATCAGCGATGCGTGTCTTCTCTCTGGGACAAGCACATTCCATACACCTTGCATTCTGAAGAACAGGGCATATTCCGGCTGCATTTTCACCGTAATGGACTGAGGCAGGTTGAATAGAATTTTCGGGATCCAGGGGAATTGTAGAGACACATTGCTAAACTGGTTTGCCGCCATGATTGGGTCGTGTAATGATTTCTCGAACTCCGGCTCTCGGAGAGCATCATAGCTAAGGTTGAAGCAGTATTCCAGTATCACTTCTTCAGTAAGTGCTGAAAACGCTCGGTTGATAGGCATGACTTTTTCTTCGGCCTGGAATTCACGAACGCGATCCACCAGGATGTCGATCTTTCCTTGAATTACATCTTGTAGATCAAGAATGCGTTGTCGCGAGAACAGAGGATTGAGTGCGCCCCGTCGAATACGATGGAGCTCATCTGAGGCGGTTGCAAAAGCAGAGTTATGATCTCCAAAGCGACCAGCCATCCACTCGTACTTATCCACGCGACCGGCCTTGGTATACAAAGTTTCATAGAAGTCCGAGTCCTGGATATGCAGCTCGTCCGGAACAACGCGCACGATAGGTCCTACCGACATTAGGACGAAAACTACTCATGGGTCGAACCATGTACCGTATTGTTTGTGCATTTCCTGTACCTGGAATGTAAACTGTCCCTGCAGGATCACATCGTAGTAGACTTCATGCCAATGGCTTATGGCCGCATATTTGGGGCCTGGAAATTTGGCAAGGGGGTGGAAGTACAAGCGATAGATTACAAGGCCGATCAGGTAGAGTGTATATGTCCCGGCGGCGGCCAGGAGAGTTCTCGCCAAAGCATCAGAGACCGCCATGTCCGTGTTGGAATGCAGCCGAAGATTTGCGAGAAGCGGACGGTGCCTTGGAGGTTGCAAGGAAGCAAGCACATTTATTACCTTTGCCTAGCCGCGACCCGCCCTCACACATGTGCTTCAGGCGGCGCCTCCGGCTAGTGGGCGTTCTACATAGACAGAAACCAGGGGATGCATGGGATGCATTAGGCGAGGCTATACCGCCAATCGGGGAGTTGACAATGGGATGGGAGGAAGCCCGGCGCATGTTTGGCGCACAAGGGACGGGCCCGTAGCCGACTGAGTCTGATAAGCCGTAGCCAATACTGGTACAACTCCATGGCATGATATATGGACTGTAGCATCGGTCCTTGGTATGCCCGCAGATGTGCCGTTCCTTCCCCGGCACCTTGCAACATCTCTGACCAGCTCTAACCTCGATTAATATAGTCGCCACGTCCAGAGAACTCTCCTACCTACCCATTCCCTCCACTCTGTCCTTGATCTCGGATGTCATGAACCGTTTGCAAGCAATCAGCCCGGCTCCAGAAAAGTAGCAGCCGGTATGGCGACTCCAGATGGTGCTCTCATCGCGGATAATGACTACAGGGCAAGAACAATAAGGCACCCTACACGACGTTGCTTGCTCACACATGGCTAGGAAGATGAGTTCGACGAAGATTCAGGTTTTGATAATGATCAAGAGTCGTCACTCAGCCAAAGTCTCAGATCTTCGGTGTACAACTACCGATATGAAAATGGTCGCACGTACCAGTCGTATCGTGCAGGTGCCTACCACCTTCCAAACGATGAAGAAGAGCAGGATCGACTAGATTTGTTGCATCACATCTGCAAGATGCTACTGGGGGGCGAGCTCTTTACTGTGAATCTCCCGCGGGATCCGCAACGAATACTGGATGTCGGCACGGGAACAGGTATATGGGCCGTAGAGGTCGCCGACCAGTTTCCAAGCGCTCAAGTCTTTGGCACAGATCTCAGCCCCATACAGCCACCCTGGGTTCCGCCAAATTTGCAGTTTTACGTTGACGATGCGGAAGCCGAGTGGACGTGGTTGGAGAACGAGAAGTTTGATTTCATCCACGGACGTGGTCTTTGCGGTGGCATTGGAGACTGGCCAAGATTTTATGCCCAAGCTTGGAATAATCTCAAACCTGGAGGATGGATGGAGATGCAAGAGCATTCAGTGAGTTTCTTCAGCGACGATGGCGGTTTGGAGCATGCGACTGCCTGTGTCTCAGCCGTTATCGAACTAGAACGGGCCAGCGAGAGGGTAGGTAAGCCTCTCAACGTCGCCCATCTCCACAGACAGTGGATGATTCAAGCCGGTTTCCACGATGTGCAGGAAGTCGTCAAGAAGGTGAGAAGCATGACCGCCATCGAAAAAGCCCTTCCCTAACCGTGACAGGTCCCAATTGGACCGTGGGCGAAAGATCCGAAGCTGAAGGAGATCGGCACACTTTACCGGGCACAGATGCTTCAATCAGTACCCTCCTTCATGCTGGCCTACTACAAGCAGATCTTGGACCACAGCGATGAGGATACAGAGACTGCTATGGCAGAGGTGAAAGAGGAGTTTGTTGACCGACGCCTTCATCTTTACCAACGGTGGTACTTCGTAAAGGGGCGACGGCCGGTATGACTGACTATTTGCTACCTCCTCCCGCGGAGACGATATGTACAAACACTCCTTCCACTCGGTATAGACGGATCGAAATCGGAGACGGCCGGCTTTAGTGCTTTCTGAATCCTGATAATTCTCTTGTACGAACAAAGCGAGTTGAAATGGTTTCTTTTCTACTGCATCGCCAATGTCTCCTCAATTTCGAGCTCGTTAAGTTACCCAAAGTTGCCAGGTCGGGTGACTCACAATAGCCCTCAGATTTACGAAGGCAAGCTCACTGCTTTTTCGGCTGAGCGAGGCAGAGCGAGGCAATACGAGGAAGCACGAAAAACATCAGTGTCGCCATGGAATGTTGAGGCTGGGGATTTTTCGAACCCTCCAATTTCTTTTCCACTTCTTGACACTTCAAATCTCTCTTCCTTCCATACCATATGTTCCTGGCGATCCCTTTACCAGTATTGGTTCACTTGCGAATACTTGACTGACGTTTAAGGTGTCCGGCGAAGCACAAGGGGGAGCCAGACTCCCGCCAAACGCCAAGATGTTCTGCCCAACTCGCCAATCTCGTGTTCAAATTTCAGCTGCACCTCCGCCAGGAATCCAACCCTGCCTTTCAATTTGGCCGGGAGGGAAGTGCTGGCTCGCGTCTGTGTTGCAGCGGGACTTTTGAGCGTGCAATCCTTTTGCACTTTCCTTATGAAGCCTGGCAGGCAGCGGCTCGGTAACCGAAGTGGTCACCTCATCATTTGATCAACCTCGATCCAGCAGACACAAGGCTTGAATCATATGAACAGCTTCGAACGAGTCCAGAATTGCCGGGTTGGCCAAAGCTTGTTCGCCGACTGGACAAGCAACAGAATGTTAGAACCTGATGGACGGTTGGGGGCCGCGCATCACGGGCTTCTGCCCAAACAGAATCCAACATCGATTGTCCTCGCCGGCCTTTACGAGAATCTAGGTTCTGAGACTCACCTGCAGCAGGCGGATAAGAGTGTTCCAGGCTCAGACCTGACTTGCAGCAACACCAATGACTTTTCGAAGTCGATGCTGAATCCCTACACCAGAGATGCAGGACGCCAATTCTTGGTAGTGTTAAGTACACCTCTTGTAATCCCTTCGCGTGGCCTCTACCTTTCCACGTTCTCTTATCACCATTTAAGCATATTTGGACGATTTCAATAACAGCAGATACTTTCAACTCCCAACCCGAAGATCTTGACTTACCTTCTTGACGATGGCGGTGCTCGTTTGGGATTGGAATGGCAAGGCTGCACTCGTGCTAGTTTCCCTGTGCGTTTTGCTCACATGTCCGACAGCCGGGGGTGACTGGTACGGCGGCGCCATACGGGTCAAGGCTGGGCAATCCATCCAAGCTGCAATCGACACGGCTCATCCTGGACAATTAATTCTCGTCGCAGCGGCCACCTACGCAGAACAGTTGACAATAACCACTGACGGCCTGCGGTTGGTGGGCAAAGGGGCCATCCTCGTGCCTCCCAGTTCTACCGTAGAAAACACCTGTTCAGGCTTAGCAGGGCCTGAAACGGAAGCTGGCATCTGTATAACGGGACAGGATATCGAGCTTGCGGATTTCGTGGTGGAGCATCGCAAGGTCCTTTCGGTGGGACAGCCAGTACAAGGAGTTTTGGTGACCGGATTTGAAGTGCAAGGCTTCTCTGGACTGGACATCGCCGTGGTCGGTGGTCAAGACGTCCAGGTGAAAGGGAACACGCTGTATGACGGCGCCCAGTACGGGTGCTTGACAGTGGGTTCCAAGAACACCCACGTCGACGCCAACAACGTCGCCTCGACAGGGGATCCATTGTTCATCGGCATCTGCATGGACGACATGTCGGATGTGCGAGTCACAAAGAATCACGTCGCGGGCTACACCGTTGGGCTCTGCATCCAGACGAACGGCGCCTACGTGTATGCCAACGAGGTCGCGGACGCGTGCTACGGCGCCTTCGTCGACCCAGCCACCACCAGCGCACAGGTCATCGGGAACCACATCAGCAACGGCAACCCTTTTTGTGCGAGCGTCCCTGACGGTGCCCTCATCGGCATCGCCATGCTCGGTGCCTTCGACACACAAGTCCAGGCGAACCTCGTCGAAGGCATGACGATCGCTGGGACATCAAACGGCAGTGCGGCGGGTATCGCGATCCTGAACGACCCGGTAACGGGCCTCGTGTCGGCGAACAACTCGGTGGTCGGGAATGTCCTGCGCAACAACGATCTCGATATCTTTGTGGAGACGCCTGGGCATGGAAATGTCGTTGAGGGGAACCAGTGCTCGACACCGGCGGAGCTGTGCAGCTAGGATCAGGGGGAGAAAAGGGACAATGAGGAGGAGCCTATTGACAAGAGCAAAAGGTGACCAAACTTGGAATAGCCATGCTTGCTTGAGGTAATATTATCCAGTTTCTTGACCAACTGTTCAAAATATTGGAAGGGTGTCAGTCACACATTTCCATCCTCATCTTCATCCGCATCCTATCCATATTCTCGTTCCCCGTGTCATGGAAATATCACTTCACTTCATTTTATATCACTTCGATGCCGCGCTGGTGCTGGTTGGCTTGATCCCAAGCCTCATGATCGGACTGTTGTGGAAGTTTGCGTGGTCGTGGAAAGCGTCCGTCTGGGCTTTCGAGATCTCGACCTCTGTACTGCCCCTACTGATCACGTCGGCGTCGTACTCGTCGATGGCCTCGGCGAGGGTCATGGTGCTATTCTTAACCTTGACCATGGCTGTGACGAATTTTTGGCTGTCGCAGATGGCGTTGTTAGCACCTTGACCGCGGTCTGCGCAAGGGTTAGCTATCTTCTATACCTAGCACACTGTTGCTTGGGGCGTTTATTTTCGTCTGAGACCGACTCTGGGGAGACAGGGGGGAGAGCAGGGGAAAAGGGCTTACGGAACGTCATGCTGTGAGCTGCGTCGCCTGCAAGCGTGACTCTGCCGCCGCGGTTGTCCCAGCCTGAATCGGGAGGTCCCCAGATCCTCAAGGGCACGGCTTTCGCATGCACGTCTTCGGAGATCCATTCCACAGCCGACTTGAACGGGTCAGCCCAGTCGTCCATCCTCCGCCGCAACTCGTCGACCATGTTCGTATCTCCTCCGGATGCAGCATCGGGCGACCCGCTCTTGTTGTCGTCCTTCGCCCACGTCGCCAGGATGTAGAACACCCACGTCTCAGGCCGTTGCAGGTCAGGCTTGTCGAGCACAAAGATGCCGACGTACATGGACTTTGGATGCACCGCGACATCCACGATAGGGTGCATCATCTTGTCCATCTTAACGGCCTGCTCTGCGGTGTAGCGGAAGGGGAAGTTGAGGAACGTGTACGGCAGGACCACAGAGGTGCCCTTGTCGCCCAGCATCCAGCGTCGGACCCATGAGCCGCCGCCGTCACAACCGACCAGGACGGAGCCAGATTCTGAGGTTTCATCGTGGAAGTGAGCAATTACCCCGTCGGCAGTCAACTCGATATCCGTGAGTGTCTTGCCGAACTGAAGAAAGGCAAGGTGAGTTTCCCAGCGTGATAGATGGCGCGGAGGGAAGAAATTGGATTAACCACTCACCTTGACATTAACTCCTTTCGACCAAACAGCCCTTGTCTTTTGAATGTTCAATCTCCTTACTCCTGGAAACGGTGGCTGCACAATGGTTTCGCCCGTCTGCCCATCTCGAATAATCACACTCTCAAATCCGGCCTCTTTGGTGTCCAGGCCTGGATCTGGCTGACACTCCGGCAATCGATTGTAGAGTTCCTCGGGAAGAAGCTGTGCGAGTAATGGATGGCTCCAGGCAATCGTCACTCCCCAGTTCCGATCGCGCGGTTCGCTTTCCTTGTCTACGACGACGTAGTCGATACCGTTCTGTCCCTTCCAGTTCAGTCTCGTCCTGACCGAAGGCAATGGTGTTCGCCTCTTGTACCCACCTTTTCAAGACCCTGTGCAAGGGCCAAGCCTGACAGGCCTGTGAGACTCCTTTTGTCAGAGAGGCTTTTATGTGAGTCTTGCTGGATTGATGACCTTGATCGACACGTACCGGCACCAATAATGATCACTTTCAATGGTCTGTTCATTCTTACGGTCGTCGAGCAGGTGCGTGACTGTGATGTTGACTGTTCAGGGGGCCAAGACTTGTCACTCTCGTTACTTGTGTGGGGGACCAACTCGCAGTCAGTGCAGCTGAAAAGGCCTGTCGATCCAGTTCGCAGTTCTTGCTGCTCGCTTCTTACTGAATCGAAATTCTTCTCGTCCCCAGCGAAATCCGCTGCAGTCAGTATTTTGTATATTGTCCAGTCTCACTCACCTGCAGAATTCAGAATCAACATGAAAGTCTGAATCGACGGTGTCAGACGCAGCCGGCTGAACCAAAAAGCAACCTTGGCCAGTAGCTGAGATAGCCCAGGAACTCAAAACTAAAGTGCCTCGGGGCCCAAACTACCGCAAAAGGACAAGCTTGTGCCTGGAAGTGCTCTTGCTGCTCTCAGGATTTCAGCCTAGTGAGCCTATGCGACGGGGGCTGTTGGCGGATCTGCTCATCCGAAACCCTTACTGACCATCATCTCCACAGGGAGAGGCCAGCCCTTGGCCAGCCCTACCCGGTAGTACTCGAACTGTCCTCAGATTCTCTCTACCCTCTCACGCCATTGTTTGAAGGAGCAGCATCTTCTCCTCATTCCCTTCGTCCTTGGCCGGGGCTTTGAAGATGGCGATCATCGAGTTGGCGCACATCACTCTCAAAAACGGCATCACAGCGACGGATCCAGAACTCAAGAAAAACCTGAGGGAAGTTAAGAGAGTGATTGAAGATTACAGCAAGCTACAAACACTGTTCTACACGCAAATCGACGACCCCTCGGTCATGTTTGTGATTGGGGCATGGGAGACTAAAGACCACCATCAATACAGCTTCGACGGGTCCCCTCAACAGGCCGAAATCCTCAAACTCATCAAAGACCAGATAGGCATTGACTGGATGCACTACATCGACGTCGACCAGTCACGGATCCCGCTCGACGCACCGGTTGTGGCCATCATCAAGGAAACATTCGCCAAACACGGAGTGGTGCGAACGCAGTTTGACCAAGAATTTGCGTCGCAGACGTCGAGTTTGGGCGGAGCGCGGCACGGAGCCATCTCGGCCTGGAACATCCCCAAAGACAACAAAGAGAGAGATGTCAGGGTGAACTTTTCGGGGTGGGAGAGCGTCGAGGAGGCCACAGCGGCGTTTGCTAACACGATCGAGAACGTCAGGGGGTTCAGAGCCAGACCGACTGAGCTGAACTTCTTCTTTGTGAAGCGGACGGAGTTGGATTAATTGGGATAAACAACCCAAGGCGCGACGTCGTCGGGGCAGTTCTCAACTCGTCGCCATGGTTATTGTTGTTTCTAGCCCGGGATGAAAGTGGCAGGTAGGCGATTCATCAATGAGAACTGTCTGAATACGAGTAACAACATGGCTTCACTCCTCTCTCAGTCTCTAACTCACTTCCAATGGATGACTGTACGTGAGATAGATGCCCCTCTGGCAGTTCGGGCCCCTCCAGTTTGTCCCCTCTCCACGCCTCTACTCCCCCCCACCTTTTGTTACGTGGGTATTTTTGGTAGCTGCCACACCATATGTTCCCCGCCATGCACACCATCAACTTCATCAGGCACCGCTGACAAACATTGCCCTGTAGTTTGTCACGTCAAATATCCACCGTTGTAGGTTAAGTGAGACCGTGCGGAGTCGGAGTATTCCCAGCTGAACTGCAGACCAGGGACTGGTGGTTAATTGAATTGACAATCGCTCTTCAACAAGACTTCACCAGGCTTTCTTCACCCGGAACACAAATCATTCATTACCCCTTCAGTTCAGCCAACTTAATCATGGATACGTCCAGCCTCAGCGACGAGGACCCTCTCTTTGTGGCTCTCCGCGACCTCATCTCTGCAAACCACATCCTCCACTATCATGGCGTGGTCGACGCCTATGGCCACATCTCGATCCGCCACCCGCTCCATCCCTCACAGTACATAATGTGCGGCTACATGGCGCCCGCCATGGTGACTTCCGGGAGGGACCTGATCGCCTACCACGTGTCCGACTCCAGCACCGTCGACCCGGACGCGAAGAAGGGGTACTCGGAGCGGTTCATTCACGGCGAGATCTTCAAGCGGTATCCCAGTGTGAACTGCGTGATCCACTCGCACGCCGAGGAAGTGCTGCCCTACGCCGTGAGCATGGGCGTCACCCTGAAAGCCGTCTACCACATGGCCGGGTTCCTCGGCTCCCGGGGCGTCAAGGTGTTCGACATCGACCCGCTCTATATGGAAGGCGAGCAGCGGGACATGTTGGTCAACAATTCCCGCTTCGGCGCCGCTTTGGCCGAGAAATTTGTGTCTGGTGCAGAGGTGCAGAGTCCCGAGGAGTCGGTTGTCCTAATGCGTCGACACGGCTTCACCTGCGTGGGCCGCGACATCGTCACCGCCGTCTACCGCGCCATCTACACGCGCATCAACGCCGAGGCACAGACAAAGTCTATGGCCATCGCGGGTCTCGTGCCGGGCCGCCGTGAATTGTTGCGTGATGAGGGCATGGGCATCGGATTCCAGGCGCTCACCGAGGAGCAGAGCGAGGGCTGCGCAGTCATGAATGAAGGGTTTCAAGATAAGCCTTGGAGGTTGTGGGTCAGGGAGGTCGAGAAGCACCCCCTGTATTACAACGCCTTGGGCTAAAGGTGGTGTTAGTTGCTTACTACCTCGACGGCGCTGGTGGACGATTAAAGGAGGGGAAAGGGGAAAGAAAGGAGACCAGGAGATGAAGAAGACGGTAATCAAAACGAGGCCCGACGGCAACGAAGAAAGTTCTTGCCCATCATCCTAGGGCAACAGGTTCAGGGGTCGTTCTGCAACTATACGGATGCTGGACCAGAGAGTCGAGACGACATCATCGTGATGAGACATTTTCTTTTCCCGTTTCTACTTTCTTTTCTTTCTCTCTCCTAAAAAAACAAAAAGAGGCATGCCGTCGCGCTGGATAGTGTAGTGCTAAATAGTCTAGCGACGGGAAATGAGGAAGAATAAGAACAATATTTGATTGAGAACACGTCGAGCGAGTTTAGTTCATCCAACGTAGAAGACTCTCCTAGACGACCGATTCAGCCTGGCCAGTAGAAACCAAGTAATTGATTATCTCCAAATGACATAAGAAGGTAAAGGAAGAGAGACGTAGAGAGAAACAAGTCCAGAGACAGACGCCGAGCAAGTTTCTTCAAACCTCGACGCCACTGACCCACGCAATACCCGCTTGCACAATGCGCTCGACCACATCCGCCTCGGCCATTGTGCGCGGCGCATAGACCATCGCCCAGCCCCTGTCGATGAACTTGAGCGGGAACCTCATGCCCCAGCCCTTCTCGACTACGGTCTTGGCGTCCGCCTCAGACAGCCAGACGTGAAGGCTCCCGTCGGAAGGGTGTGCGTGCGCGATCTCCGTACCCAGGAGTTTGTTGTCCCTGGCCTTGTCGTTGAGCGTTTCGAGGGCTGGCTTCGCGTAGATGGCGTCAGTGCTCCCGCCTTCGGTCTTGCTGGGGCGCAGGTCCAGGATGGAGGGGTGTTTGGCGGCCAACGAGGCCATCATGGTCCTCACACGCTCCTCGACCCCCGCATCCGCCGTGCCGGCCTTGTAGGGAACCTGGCGCTGGGGCATGGTGCGGGCCATGATCGCCGGCCTGGGACCCTCACGCCTCGGTATGGCAGCCGGGTCGAGATATTTGGGTCCCGAGGACGAGAGCGGAGACGGGTCGCACAGGTCGTCCTTGCCGAACAGTAGCATGCGGTTCAGGCGAATCTTGGTCATGCGCCAGTATCCAGCCCAGGTGGGCGGCGTGCCTCCTGTACCAAAGGACTTCCACGCGTGGAAGTCATTAAGCACCCATGCCAAAGACAGCGTTAACGCGACCGCTGTTGTCGTCACGGCTGCCTGGCGTGGCCGGGCATTGAGAGTGTCGATGGCCTTGTGGTATTGAGCGGCGAGGGTCGAGGCGACTGAATCCATAGCTCGTCCTGAGTGTGGAAGGGGTTTGGCGCAATTGCTTGTCCAAGGCCTGTGTCTCCCAGCTTTGCAGATGTACGGAGTACAGCTCTCAGTTGGAAGTGAAATTATTTGCTTTTTTAGGCCTCCCTCCCTGGCGTCCCTGACCTAGAAACTGACTGACTTAAAAATGGAATGTTGTACGACGGCTTCCAGAGAGACGCAAAGCCTCGACAGAGCGAAGAATAGACCTGAAGATGATGACGGAGGTTGAAGTTGTTGCGAATCCGACCTCGTTGCTTGTAAATCGCCCCTGAGCGCCAAGAGCGGATGTATTGTTTCCCCGCACTTCTCAGCTGACTCCTTTTCCTAATTTAGCTAGTGGAATGGCTACTTGTCGCCGCCTTATTCAATACTCCGACGAGGAACAGAACGAGAGGCAAACATTCCGCACTCTCAAACGCCCTTTTGCTCCTATTGTTCTCTCCTGCTTTCTGCACACAATTCTGAAAGATGGACAACAGATGATGCCTTGCCTCTGAAGGCCTTCAACTGCGGTATATATCAAATTGATCCAGCATCCTGACGATACCCGATACTGGACCATGTGGCCTTTGCGCTACCATCATTGGTCTCCTTCACCTGTTCCCCAGGTACGGGAAAGGAAACCATCGCGTCATCGCGTACACCGCCAATGCGCATGTTAATGTTCAACAACCTGGTGCATACAAGCTTCACAGGTCCCTTCAAAAGCATCAGTGGCCGAAGAAGCAACGTACCTCCGCGGAGCGCCCTCTGCTTACGCTGGTCGACTCAGTCTACTTTTCAAGCAAACACTGAAGAGGAGCTTCTGTTCCAGTATTGCAGCAGCATGTATCACGTTGCACCCTAAAGTTGAAAACCTTGACTGTCACAATGCAGTATGTGCATTAGGCATGGATTTTTCTTACTCAATATCTATCAGCTACGAGGAGGTCCAGCGAAGTAGCACCTACCAATCACAACTCCTCCGGTAAGACGGAACACGCTTGATGATCAATGTGGAGACACCGTTCGCAA